GGCCCCCAGGGGGGCCCCCAGGGGGGCCCCCAGGGGGGCCCCCAGGGGGGGGGGCCCCCGTGTGGCGTTATGGGGAAAGTTATGCTGCAGTGCTGGAAGAAGGGGAATGGACTGTGGGGTGTTTGTGGCTGACTTGTGGGGCCGTTTTTGCTGCCTTTTTGCGGCAGCAAGTTCTGCAGCGGCTGCAGTTCACTATGAGCGGGGCCCTCGCGCACAATAAGGTCTGCTGCTGCTGCTGCTGCTGCTGCTGCTGCTGCTGCTGCTGGTTGGGCTGCTGCTGCTGCCGCTGCTAGTTGTGCTGCTGCTGCGGGTTGGGCTGCTGCTGCTGTTTGGGCTGCTGCTGCTGGTTGGGCTGCTGCTGCTGCTAGTTGTGCTGCTGCTGCGGGTTGGGCTGCTGCTGCTGCTGCCAATTTTCCTTCTGCTGCTGCTGTTGTTGGTTCTCCTGCTGCTGCTGCTGCTGCTGTTCTTCCTGCTGCTGTTGCTCTTTCTGCTGCTGCTGCTGCTCTTTCTGCTTCCAGACCTAAGCAGTTGAGGGGCTTTTTTATGTCCCCTTTTTGTTTTTTGTCATTTTTGATTTCTTTAAACTTTTTTTTCTCTTTTTTCTCCTTTTTGCATCTTTTTGTCTCCTTTTTTCTCCCAAATGCCTTTTGATTTCCTTTTCCCTTTTGCTGCTGCTGCTGCTGCTGCTGCTGCTGCTGCTGCTGCAGTTCTTGGCCAAAGTTGGCTGCGGGCTGTTCAAACCCGCGCAGCAAGTGCTGGTGCCCCGCTGGGCAGCAGCAGATTTGCTGTCGGGCCTCCCGCTGCAGCAGCTGCCGGGGCTGGGCGGCCGCCGCGGCCGCCGTGCTGCAGCAGCAGCAGCAGCAGCAGCAGCAGCAGCAGCAGCAGCAGCAGCAGCAGTAGCGGGAGACGTCCAGCGCCTCCCCCTACACACCCTCGCGCAAACTCTCGGACTCGAGGAAGCCAAGTTCCTCAAGACACTCGCATGGCCAGTCCCGGGAGAGGCTCCAGGGTTTAGGGTTTAGGGTTTAGGGTTTAGGGTTTAGGGTTTGGGGTTACGGGGGTGGCGGGCTTTTAGGGGGGTTAGGGTTAAGACTTAGGGCTTTTATGGGGCTAGGGTTTAGGGTTTAGAGCTTTGGGGGGTTCGGGTTAAGGGCCTTCAGAGGGTTGGCTCCAGGGCTCGGGGCTTCTAGGGTTTAGGGTTTAGGGTTTAGGGTTTAGGGTTTAGGGTTTGGGTGTGGCCTCAGGGGCTGCCCCGAAGGCAGCGACTCCGTGCAAACCAACATTAGGGTAAAGTCTATGTTGGCTTTTAAGTCTTTAGAACCCCCGGGGGCCCCCCCGGGGGCCCCCCTGCTGCTGCAGTGGTTGCAAACCCTCAGCAGAGAACTTTCGGAAAGGGCTTTGAAGGACTGCAGGCTTTATTCGCGGGTTCCCAAGACCTTAAGTCCGCCAAACCCTAAACCCTAAACCCTAAACCCTAAACCCTAGGCCGCGGGGCGCTGCGGGGAGTTCTTGTGGCACTGCGGCCAAGTGATGGGGCTTCCGCCTCACAGCTGAGGGTTTAGGGTTCAGGGGCCAGGGCTAGGGTTTAGGGTTTAGGGTTTAGGGTTTAGGGTTTGGGGTTTGCAGCGCCGCACTACGGCTCTGGGCGCCGAGCTAGGGTTTGGGGTTTAGGGCTCAGAGCTTGGGGGTTGCAGCGCCGCACATCTTCTCGGGGCTTCGAGCTAGGGCTAGGGTTTAGGGTTTAGGGTTTAGGGTTTAGGGTTTAGGGTTTGGGGTTTGCAGCGCTGCACTACGGCTCGGGGCCCCCGTGGCACCAGCGCTTCTCCCGTTCTTGCCAAGTCCCTTATGGCTCTGGGGTTTCTCCGGGGGGCCCCCCAAACCAGCAGCAAATAATGCTGCTTGCTGCTGCGCAGCTGCAGCGGCTGCAGCAGCAGCAGCAGCAGCGGGGGGCCCCCCTGCAGCCCTGCCTCCGGGTGGCCCTGGCCCTGGGGGACTTCGTCGAGGCCCCCCCGGGGGGCCCCCAGGGGCCCCCCGCAGCAACAAAGGACATTGCTGGCTTTTTCGAGAAACAACCCAAGAAAAATACCCCGGGGGGCCCCCAGGGGGCCCCCCAGGGGGCCCCCCAGGGGGGCCCCCAAGGGGCCCCCAGCCCGGCTCCAGGGGCCCCCCAACTCGGGCAAGCTGGGGGAGCCCCCGGGGGGCCCCCCGGGGGGGCCCCCAGCCCGAGAACGGCAGCCAGGGGAAGGGGGGCCCCCACTAGGGCACAGGCCGACGGGGCCCCACAGCCTGGGGGGCCCCTGGGGGGCCCCAAAGGGCCCCTGGGGCCCCCTGGGGGCCCCAAGGGGGGCCCCTTGGGGCCCCCAGGGGGCCCCGAAGGCCAAAAGGCAGCAGCAAAGGCCCGCGGGCTTACCCCTTCTTCCCCAGAATATGTTGGGTCTCAAGAAGAAGAAGCTTTGCTGCTGCTGACACAGACAAACTCCCCTGCATGCAGCAGCAAGCTGGGGGCCCCTGGGGGGGCCCCTGAAGAGAGGGGGGCCCCTGGAGAGGCCCCTGAAGAGGGGGCCCCTAGGGGGCCCCCTGAAGAGGAGGCCCCTGCGGGGGCACGCGGGGAGGCCCCCGGCGAGACCCTTAGGGGGCCCCCCGAGGGGGCCCTTCAGGGGGCCCCTCAGGGGGCCCCTCAGGGGGCCCTCGAGGGGGCCCCTGAGGGGCCCCCTGAGGGGCCCCCTGAGGGGCCCCCTAGAGGGGCGTCCGAGGGGCCCCTTGGGGGGGCCCCTGAGGAGGCCCCCGGGGGAGCCCCTGAGGGGGCCCCTGGGGGGCCCCCTGGGGGGCCCCCTGGGGGGGCCCCTGGGGGGGCCCCTGGGGCCCCGTGGGAGGTTCGAGATGAGGAATGGATTTGCGGAGAGTCGGAAGATGAAGTGGAAGTTGTGGAAGTAATTGACGTGTGCAAGGAGTTGGATTCAGGTGTACGTACACCTCAGGAAGAAGGAGGCAAAGCCCGGAAAGCCAACAGAGAGAAAACCCCACACTGCAGCAAACTGCATGCAGCCCCACACCGCAGCGCCAGAGCAGCAGCAGCAGCAGCAGCAGCAGCAGCGCAGCAGCAGCAGCAGCAGCGCAGCAGCAGCAGCCACAAGAGAGGACCCTCAGCCCCGGCCAGCGGGCAGCTGAAAATGGACCTCTTCCTCGCCAAGAAGCAAAGGGGCTAAACCCTAAACCCTAAACCCTAGACTGTCGACAGAAGGGCTAAACCCTAAACCCTAAATTGGAGGCTGAGCCCTTCTCGCGGAGTTGAGAGGGCCAATCCTAAACCCTAGACCGAAAGGCCAAACCCTAAACCCTAGCCTGAAGTGGGTACGGCCCGAACTTTGTGAAAAGGGTGTAAACCCTAAACCCTAGGCTGAGGGGGTAAACCCTAAACCCTAGGCTGAGGGGGTAAACCCTAAACCCTACGCTGAGGGGCTAAACCCTAAACCCTAGGCTGAGGGGCTAAACCCTAAACCCTAGGCTGAGGGGCTAAACCCTAAACCCTAGGCTGAGTGGCTAACCCTAAACCGTCGGGAGAAGTCTAAGCCCGAAACCCTGGACCCCAGAGTAGACACTGGACAACAGTGGATGATGCTTTTCCCCTTTTTAGGGTTTAGGGTTTAGGCTAGGGTTTGCGAGTAGGGTTTGGGGGAAACAATTCAAAGTGGAGTTTATTGGAAGTGTTTGCAAAAGGCCCAAAGGCCTCTAAAAAGAGTTGGTGGTTTTATTTGTCTTTTTTGCACAAGTTAAGTTGAATTATGTTTGCAACTTTGCGCGGCGGGAGAAACTGGACTTGTGCAAATTTAGGGAATTTAAAAGGACCCAAAGCCGGCCTTAGTCCCCGCAGAAGTCCAAAAGAAGAAAAAAATAAAAGTGAAAAGAGCTGGGGCTTTGCGAGGCGTTTTTTGGCGCGCAGCGCGGTGTACGTACACCCCAACGCGGTGTACGTACACCCCAACGCGGTGTACGTACACCCCAACTTCCCGCAAGTCGCAGCCCGCGGGAACTGCAGCGCGAAGGCCAGCGGGGGCCTTTCTTTGCCTTTCTTTGTTTTTAAAAGGGAAAAATAAACAATTTCAGTTTTTAAAATATAAAAATAAATAAAATAACTCCAAAAAATGAAAGAGCGACGCGCAGCAGCAGCCACTGCCGACTCGGGCGGTGTACGTACACCCCGAGTGCCGCCGCGGCGTCGAGGCTCCGCCCAACTCCAAACAAAGACGCTGAGAAGCCGCTTAAACCCTAAACCCTAAACCCTAAACCCTAAACCCTAAACCGTCGAGGGCTAACTCCAAACCCTAAACCCTCGGCGGCAAACCCTAAACCCTCGAGGCACATGCGCCGACGCGGCGGTCGAGCTAGCATCGAAACAGCTGCGGCGGCGGCGTGGCTGCGGCGCTGCTGCTTCGAAAAGGACTTTCTCGGGAATTAATTCCACTTTTTTAGCGTTTTATGAATTCCAAATAAATAATTAAAATAAAAAAACCCAAAAAGAAGCCAAAGGCAGCAGTTTGGCTTTTAAACGGAAGGCGTCGGCGCCGCGGCAGCTACGCGCTTCTCGGAGCTGTCTATACACCCCAAGAGGCGTTGTTCTTCCTCCCGCGCGCCCGCTTTGCATTTTCCACTTCACTTTTACTTTATTTAATTCAACTTTGTTTCAAATTTCCTCTTTTGCTGCGCGAAAAGCCGCAGCCGACGCTGCCGACGGCGGCGGCGCGCCCGACTCGCTGGCGAGCTGTCCATACACCCCAGCAGCACGCGCGCCCCGCCGCCTCCGCCGCCGCCGCTGCCTTTCTCACTTCATTTCCTTTTTATTTAATTCAACTCAAAGCCATGGGAGCAGAAGAGGGCCCGGGGGGCCCCTCGGCCCTCCCCCTCCCCGCCGCCCCAGCCTCCCTGCCCCTGCAGGGGGGCCCCCGGGGGCCCCCAGACCCTCTCGGGGGCCCCGAAACCCTTCCAGACCCTTCCACAGCTCCTTGCTCTTCAGACGAAGACAAAAGTGAAGACGGCGGCAGCGACGAGGCCCCGGGGGCCCCCGAGGGCCCCCCCCCTCACTTCGCTCCGAAGCAAATCGACTGCAGCAGCTGCAGCAGCAGCTGCAGCAGCCGCTGCAGCAGCTGCTGCAGCTGCTGCAGCGCCAGCTGCAGCGCCAGCTGCAGCGACGGCTGCAGCGACGGCGTCAAGGCGGACGCAGCGGTCATAGGTGCAGAGACGGAGGCAACGCCAGACAGCAGCAGCAGCAGCAGCAGCAGCAGCAGCAGCAGCAGCGACAGCAGCAGCAGCAGCGACAGCAGCAGCAGCTTCTTCCCTCCGGCGTTCCGCAGCTGCTGCGACTCCCTCCCGGCTTCAGGTGTACAGACACTGGAGGAGCCCTTGCAGCCGCAGAACTACCGCCGCTGCCGCAACAGCCGCAGCAGCAGCCGCAGCAGCAGCAGCAGCAGCAGCAGCAGCAGCAGCGGGGAGGACTCAGCTGCTGCTTCTGAAGCCACAGAAGCTCCAGGCGAAATAGAAAGAGCTTCGGAGTCCTCGGACTCTGCTGCAGATGATGAGCTGTACATACACTCCAACTCCACAGACTCTTCTTCAGAACCCCACAGAATGCCATCTTTTTCTGACAGCGGCTTCGACGTCATTGACTGCAGCACGGAGGGGCCCCTGGAGGCCCCGGGGGCCCCCCTGGGGCCCCCCGAGGCTGTGGGGCCCCTGGGGGGGCCCCTGGGGCCCCTGGGGCCCCTGGGGCCCCTGGGGCCCCTGGGGGGGCCCCTGGGGCCCCTGGGGGCCCTGGGGCCCCAGGGGCCCCGGGGGGCCCCCCTGGGGGCCCACGCAGCAGCAGCTTTGACGGGGCCTGCGAGGTTTGGGTCTCGTGATCTGATGGAGGCTGAAGAGGCTGAAGATCTGTATGGGGGGCCCCCCGAGGGGGCCCCTGGGGGCCCCCCTGAGGGGCCCCCTGCAGGGGCCCCCGAGGGGGGCCCCCCCCAGGGCGCAGAGGCTCCCGAGGCGACCCCGTTCGCAGAAAGAGCAGCAGCAGCAGCAGCAGCAGCAGCAGCAGCAGCAGCAGCAGCAGCAGCAGCAGCAGAAGAGACGCTGCTGCTGCCGAGCTGGGGGGCCCTCGTGAGAGAGACAGTGGCCCGGCGGGGGGCCGAAGTGGGGCGCTTTAATTCTGGCCTCGAGCGGCAGCGGCTGCTGCTGCACGCGCAGCAGCAGCAGCAGCAGCAGCAGCAGCAGCAGCAGCAGCAGCAGCAGCAGCAGACGCGCAGGAGGGAAGTGGGAGTGATGGAGGCCCGAGACCTTCTTTTTGTTAACTCGCAGCTGCTCACAGAGCCCTCAGCCAGCAGGCCTTTGGAAAAGTTGGAAAAGAGGCAGCAGCAGCAGGGGGGCCCCCCGGGGGGCCCCCAGGGCCCCCTGGGGGCCTCGGGGGGGGGCCCCAGCTGCTGCTTGCCGCTGCGGGGGCCCCAGCAGCAGCAGCAGCTGCACGCAGGCCTCCACACAGCGGGCCACAGGAGCAGCAGCAGCAGCAGCAGCAGCAGCAGCAGCAGCAGCAGCAGCAGCAAAGCGGAGAAGGAGCAGCAGCCGCAGTTCCCCAGGGGCCCCCAACCCCTCCCCGCAGTCAGCCCCAGGAGGCCCCGGGACACAGAGCCTTCAGAAAAGCTGCTGCCGGTGTCTCTGCGGAGTTCTGCTGCAGCAGCTGCTGCAGCAGCTGCTGCAGCAGCTGCTGCAGCAGCGGGGGGGCCCCCGCAGCAGGGGGCAAACCCTGAGGGGGGCCCCCTCAAGGACCCTGAGGGCCCCCGCGCTGCCTCCCAAGACCCCGAAGCAGCTCTGGGGGCCCCCCAAGAGGCCCCTCCCGCTTCCCCCGAAGCTCCCTGCGGGGCCGCCCCCCCGGGGGCCCCCCTGGAGGCTGCGGCTGCGGAACTGGAGCGGGAGATGCAGTGCTGCCTGGCTGGGGTGTACGGACAGCAGGAGGAGACTCCAAACGCAGAAAGTGCTGCGCTGCTGCTGCTGCTGTCTTGCACCAGATCCACTCCCAACAGCAACTCCAGTCCTTCTCTTTTGCGGAGAGTCCCGGGGCCCCAGGACCCTCTCCGGAGGCCCCGGGTCTCCCCCCTCCACCGCCACGTGGGGGGCCCCCAACTCACAGACGCCGCCGCCTCGGGGGCCCCCAAACGCAGGAGCAAGGGGGGCCCCCGCGAGGGGCCCCCGGGGGACCCCCAGGGGCCCCCCGAGGCGGGACCCCAGGGGGGCCCCCAGGGGGGCCCCCAGGGGGGCCCCCAGGGGGGCCCCCAGGGGGCCCCTCATCAAGAAGAGGCCCTTGGGGAAGAGGCAGCAAAAGGGCCTCTGGCTGCTGCAGCTGTTGAAGAGCAGCTAAATAAAGGCTGTGGGATCGGTGGGATCGAGGGGTCTGGGATCGTGGGGTCGGGAGTCGACTCCCGAGGACGATCCCAGTCCCCAACTTCCGACTCCCGCTGCTGCAGCAGCGCCCCACAGGGGGGCCCCCGGGGGGGCCCCCGGGGGGGCCCCCAGGGGGCCCCTGCAGACCTGCCGGGGCCCCCAGAGGAACTGCTGCAGCCAGGGGGGGCCCCTGCTGCGGCAGAGGGCACAGGAGAACCCCCAGCTGAGGGGGGCCCCCTTGGGGGCCCCCCAGAGCTGGCCCCTGAACCAGCAGCAGCAGCAGCAGCAGCAGACCCAGAGGGGGCCCCCTGTGACTTCATGGACTTTGCAGATGGCAGTAAGGGTCTAGAAGAAGAAGAGGGCCTCTTCGAGGGGCCCCAGCCGCTGCAGGGGGCCCCTCGCGGGGCCCCCTTGGGGGGCCCCCCGGAGGGGGGCCCCCTTTTGGGAGCAGCAGGGGTTTCAAAAACGAACCCTGAAGCAGCAAAGGAAACAGCCCACAGTATTGGGGCCTCTAGTCCCTGTGGGGCCCCCCAGGCCGAAGCAATAGAGGCCCCAGAGGAGTCCCAGGGGGGCCCCCAGGAGGGCCCCCAGGAGGGCCCCCAAGGGGGCCCCCAGGAGGGCCCCCAAAGGGACCTTTTCGAAGAGGGGCCCCCGGAAGGGGGCCCCTCGGGGGGCCCCCCCGAGGGCCCCCGCCAGACCTCCTTGCCCGAATTTCCGCTCCCAGAAAAGACCCAAGAGGACTTCAGAGAAAAAGAGAGTTGGGGCCCCCTTCTAGCAGCTCCCCACAAAAGAGATGCTGCTGTTAGCTGCGGGTTGCAGCAGCAGCAGCAGCAGCAGCAGCAGCAGCAGCAGAATGACCAGCGGCAAGAGCAAGGGGAGCCGGAGCAGCGCCACCTGCTGCAGCTGCAGCAGCAGCAGCAGCAGCAGCAGCAGCAGACAGGCCCAGCAGCAGCCTCAACCCAGCCGAGCCTGCAGGGCCCCCCAGGGGCCCCTCTCCAGCTCTACAAGGTGCAGGGGGCCCCCCCCCTGGGACAGAGACAGGGGGCACCCCCAGGGGGCCCTGAGGAGAGGCTGAGGGGGCCCCTTGCAGCAGAAGAGGGGCCCCTGGGGGCCCCCTTTGTCCAGAGGGCCCCTGCTGCAGGGCCCCCTCTGCAGCCCCTGTGCGCAGCAGCAGGGGGGCCCCCAGGGGAGAGGGGCCCCCTGGCCTATGGGGGCCCCCTGTCCCAGCGGCAAAGTTTGGAGAACTTCTCTGCATGGAAACCCCCCATTTGCTTGAGCAGCAGCAGCAGCAGCAGCAGCAGCAGCAGCAGAAATAGTTTGTTTGCTTCTGTCCCAGGAACCCCTCGGGAGAGTCTTCTGGGGGCCCCCGAGTTAGCTGCTGGGGGGCCCCACAGCAGCACCTTTTTGGGTACTGTGGGGCCCCACACCCGCCCCTCTGTGGGGCCCCACACCCGGCTGCTGCAGCCGCTGCTGCGGGGGGCCCCTGCTGCTCTCCAGGGGCCCCCCGAGCAGCCGCTGCTGCTGCAGAACTACGCAGCCGGGTGTATATACACCACACGCCTCACTGCCACAACCTACAGCTGCTCCCTGGGGGCCCCAGCCAGCCCCCCCCTCCTCCAGCAGCAGCAGCAGCAGCAGCAGCAGCAGCAGCAGCAGCAGCAGCAGCAGTTGTGCACAGCAGAGCTGCCTGGGAGGTGCCCCCGGGGCACTTTGTTCTCCCCCGTGGGGGCCCCCCAGGGGATGTATGAGGGCCTCGAAAGCCCCAGGGGGCCCCTAGAGGGTACTAGGGTACAGGGGGGCCCCCGGAGGCGGCGCTCTATAGAGGCCTGGGTAGCTGCCCCGCTGCCGCTGGAGAGCTGGGGGCCCCCAAGCCCCCGGGGGCCCCCCTTGGGGGCCCCTGTGCAGCAGCAGCTGCGCAGCAGCTCGGAGATCTTGCCTGTGGGGCCCTTTGCCTGCAGCGGGGCCCCTGAGGGGCCCTTCAGAAAGAACTGCAGGAAGGCCAGGCCGGCAGCAGCAGCAGCAGAAGCCGCAGCAGCAGCAGCAGCAGCAGCAGCAGCGCACCAGGCGAAGTGCGGCAGCAGCAGGGGCTGCAGCGCGGGGGCCCCCGAGGGGGGCCCCCCCAACTCCAAGAAGAAACTTTTCTTAGGGGGGGCCTCCCGGATTTTTGGCGGCAGCAAAAGGCAGGGGCCCAGGGGCCTCAGCAGCGGGGGGCCCCCGCAGCTTCCCCGCTCCCCACGAGACGCAGCAGCAGCAGCAGCAGCAGCAGCAGCAGCAGCAGCAGCAGCAGCAGCAGCAGCAGAGCCAGCAACAGTTTTGAGGCTCGTGCGCATCGCGCCCCCGACAGACACAGAGGAACGCGCCATTTCATCGCCGAATCTGCTCATGCAGCAGCAGCAGCAGAAGCAGCAGCAGCAGCAGCAGCAGCAGCAGCAGCAGCAGCATACCTACGTCGAGCATCCGCTGCAGCAGCAGCATGGCTACGTGGAGCAGCCACTGCAGCAGCAGCATTCCTACGTGGATTTGCCGCTGCAGCAGCAACATGGCTACGTGGATCTGCCGCAGCAGCAGCAGCAGCAGCAGCAGCAGCAGCATTTCTACATGGAGCAGCCGCTGCCGCAGCAGCAGCACTGCTACACGGAACAGCCGCTGCAGCAGCAGCAGCACTGCTACGTGGAGCAGCCACTGCAGCAGCAGCAGCACTGCTACGTGGAGCAGCCGCTGCAGCAGCAGCAGCACTGCTACGTGGAGCAGCCACTGCAGCAGCAGCAGCAGCACTGCTACGTGGAGCAGCCGCTGCAGCAGCAGCAGCACTGCTACGTGGAGCAGCCGCTGCAGCAGCAGCCCCCTGCTGCGCAGCACCATTGCCCGCTGCAGCAGCCGTCGCATTTGCTGCAGCAGCAGCCACCGGCGTTTCTTGTGCCTCAGGACGAGCAGCAGCAGCAGCAGCAAGCGCATCTCCACGCGCTGCATCAGCTGCAGCAGCAGGCCCCGTTCCCCGTGCAGCAGCAGCCGCTGCACCTGCAGCAGCAGCAGCAGCCGCAGCAGCAGCAGCAGCAGCAGCAGCTGGTGCTGCTGCACGGAGACGGCGACGCAGCTTCCCGCTGGCCCTTGGCCGTGGGGGCGGTGCCCGGCGCGCCGCTGGGGGCGCTGCTGGCCCCCTCACACCCAGCAGCAGCAGCAGCAGCAGCAGCAGCAGCAGCAGCAGCAGCAGCAGCGCCGCTGCAGCGCAGCAGCCCCTGCGCCGTGGCCGAGGCCCTCGCACTCACCGGCAAAGCCCTCAGAGCTGCTGGGGCCCGCCTGGCCTCAGGGCTGGGCTCAGTGCTGCGGGAAGTGGCAGCAGCAGCAGCAGAAGAGACTTTGGGCATTTTGCGCAGCAGCGTCGAGGGCCTCGAGCAGCAGCAGCAGCAGCAGCAGCAGCAGCAGCAGCAGCAGCCGCTGCACCGCTGGCAGCAGCAGCAGTTCAGACGCAGAGTGCCCCTTCTCAAGCTCCCAGCCAAAACGCCGGACCCCGCGCTTGAGGGGGGCCCCCTCCAGCTGGAGGAGGGGCCCCTCGGGTACAGGGGGGCCCCCAAGGGGGGCCCCCTTGGGGGCCCCCTGGAGGCCTTGGGGGCCCCCAAAGAGGGGCCCCCCCCCCCTTTGGCCTTAAGCTGGCGCCCCACTGAGGAAACCCTCGAGCGCGTCCCGTCTGCTGCGGACGCCCCAGCAGCAGCAGCAGCAGCAGCAGCAGCAGCAGCAGCAGCAGCAGCAGCAGCAGCGGGAGAGGAGACGGAGTCGGAGGGAGAGGAGGGGCCCTCGTGCTGCAGCGCAGCAGCAGAAAGGGCCCCCCGCACCCGCTTGCTGCTGCTGACCCAACTAGGAGGGGATAATGACCTTCTTATGGGGCCCCTCGAGGAGGGGCCCCCTGAAGAAGAAGACTTGATCCTGGGGGGCCCCTCGCTGCCCCTGGGGGGGCCCCCAGCCTTCTGGGGGGCCCCCAAGAAAGCCCAAGACAGCTTTCAGCAGCAAGCCCCCCCGCAGCAGCAGCAGCCCAAGCAGCAGCAGCAGCAGCAGCAGCAGCAGCAGCAAGAGGCTCCGAAGCAGCAGCAGGGCTGCCGCGTTGTGCAGCAGCCAGTGCCCCTGCCCCCACTACCCCTGGGGGGCCCCCCGGGGGGCCCCCCAGAGGACCCTGAGGCCCTCGAAGCCAGCCAGCGCTTGGCTGCCCGCTGGCGCTCCCCCCCGAGGCCCCAGGGCCCTGTGGCTGGGGGCCCCCTAGCAGCAGGCTGGCTCATGGGGGCCTCCCTTTAAGGGGGGCCCCCTTGGGGGGCCCCCTTGGGGGGCCCCCTTGGGGGGCCCCCTTGGGGGGCCCCCTTGGGGGGCCCCCTGAGGGGGGCCCCCAAAGGGGGCCCCCCTGACAGCAGCAGTGCCCCTGGGGGCCACGCTGGGGGCAGCAGCATTCCTTCGAGAGAGCCCGCTATGGCAGCATACAGGCTGCCAACTGCTGCTGCAAGCAGCAGCAGCAGCAGCAGCAGCAGCAGCAGCAGCAGCAGCAGCAGCAACAGAAGCAGCGTTGAAGAGCCGCGGCAGCGACAGGACAGCAGCAACAGCAGCAGCAACTGCAGCAGGAGGCGCCGGCGGCGGAATGCAGCGCAGCTTGAGTTGAAACTGTTGGTTTGATTCTGGATTTAAAATTAAAAAGAAATAAAACAAAAGTGAAGTTTCAGGAAAAGCCTTTGGCGCCGCAGAGAGGCTGAGGTGTACGTACACCCCACGCGCCGGGCGCCAACTGCACAACGCCGGCAGGAAAGGCCGCCTCTCTTTGGGGCTTTCTTCGGCGTAAAATAAAATAAATAAATAAAATAAATAAATAAATAAAAATAAAAATAAATTTAAATTCAAATTTAACGCAAACTGCGCCAAATAAACCCCAGCAGCCCCCCAAAGGCGCTGGCCGGGGCCCCTCACAGCCCTTTTGCTTGAAACTCTTTAGTGTACAGACACCCCAACTTCCGCAGCAGCAGCCAACGCATGCAGCCCCAGACCCATAGGCACACAGCCGCAGCGCGGGGGCCCCCAGAGGGCCCCCAGGGGGCCCCCAGGGGGGCCCCCCGCTGCTCCCCGAGACAAATAAAACTGCCAAAGCCCAAGAGCTAATGAGACTGACAAAAAGGAAAACAGACAAACAGCCAGCACTGCCTCTCACCACTCCGCTCACAGGGGCCCCCCAGGCCCTCAGGGGCCCCCAGGGGCCCTCCGGGGCCCCCAGAGGCCCCCAGGGGCCCCCGGGGGCCCCTGGGAGCCCCCGGGGGCCCCCGGAGGCCCTGGGGGCCCCCCCACATAACTGGAGGGCGTCGCTGGGGGCCCTCATCGCTCCGCATTGGGGCTTTGTCAGGGGCGCATCAGGCGCAGCAATAAAAGGTCCTCATGGGTTCAATAAAAGCAACATTAAAGAGCCCTCGGGGGCCCCCAAAACCCTCCTTGTTTGCAGCCCAAGGGGCCCCCATACGTGGGTCTTCTGGGGCTCCTTCGCCGCTGCTGGGGGCCCCCAGGGGCCCCCAATGAGGGGCCTTCTGGGGCCCCTCAGGCGCTGCAGGGGACCCCCAGGGGCCCCCAAAGGTGGGTCTTGTGGGGCCCCTCAGGCGCTGCAGGGGCCCCCAGGGGCCCCCAAACGTGGTTCTTGTGGGGCCCCTCAGGCGCTGCAGGGGCCCCCAGGGGGGGCCCCCAGGGGCCCCCAAAGGTGGGTCTTGGGGGCCCCCGGGCCTTCACTGTTGCGTTTCTTGTTCGTGCATGCTTAGGACACATCTAATGCCTTTTCCTCCTCGCAAAATGTCAAAAGCTTCTTCAATGCGTTCGAGAGACATGCGGTGCGTGATGTAGCGGTCCAGGCTGTACGTACACCCCACACCCCACACCCGCGCTGCTGCTGCTGCTGCTGCTGCTGCTGCTGCAGCAGCAGCAAGTAGGGTCAAGGGCAGGCCGTTTGCGAGAAAAGGCACAGATAAAAGCACAAAACTAAAACTAATTAAGTGCAGATGCACTCAAAGACACAAAATGCCAAAAATCCAACTAAGAAGAGGGCCCCTGGAGGCCTCAGGGGGCCCCAGAAGCCCCAGGGGGCCCCCGGCGGCCCCTGGAGCGCCCACGGGGGGCCCCGGGGCCCTTTCCGGGGCCAAAAGGGTGAGTTTGTGGGTCTAAGAAGTGCGGTTTGGGGCCCCTGGGATGCCGGGGGGCCCCCCGGGGGCCCCCGGGGGCCCCCGGGGGGCTGGGGGGCCCCCGGGGGCCCCCTGAGTGCTTGGAAACTCACTCGATTTTGTTGGACATGTGGAGGTCGACGAGCTTGGGCATGTCGGAGCGGCTCTGCCAACCCCCAAAAGCCGCCCCGCGCCACTGCCGGCCCACAATGAGGTTGAAGGGGCGGGTCTTAATTTCTTCGCCTTGGCCTGCGACGCTGCAGCGCAAAAAAAGAAAAAAAAGTTCTTTTTAAGATTAAAAAGAGGCAAATTGGAGGCCAAATGCGGGGAGTTGAAGGGGAATTCAAAGGGAATTCGAAGGGGATTGAAGAGGCAAAGAAAGAGCGGAAAAAAGAGAAAAAAAAGAGAAAAAAAAGAGAAAAAAGAGAGAAAAAAAAGGAAAAAAAGGGAAAATTGGGAAGAAAATGGGAGAATAAAGGAGGGAAAGGCGAAACGGAAAAATAGAGAAAAAAAGAAAAATAAAAAAGAAAAAGGAAAGAGAAAAAGGGGCAGCGAAGGAAGAACAATAAAAGGCCAGAAGGCCACTGAAAAGAAAAGAAATAACGAACAAGACTGGCAAAAGATGCGCGAAAAATGAAGAAAATAAAAAGTTAAAAGAGACCGTCTAAGGAGAAATGAAAAGGAAAAGAAAGGGAGAAGGAAGATAAAAAAGAAAAGGAGAAAAAGAGCAGGAAAGAAGGCCCCCAGGGGCCCCGGGGGGCCCCCCGGGGGCCCCTGGGGGGCCCCCCGGGGGCCCCTGGGGGCCTTGGGCTTACCCTAAAATAACGGAAACTCCCCAGCCCTTTTTGGTGCACTCCAGAGCTGCCCTCATGATGCCCACATTGCCAGTGCAGTCAAACGAGAAATCCACACCTCCTGAATCCCCACAAACAAACAAAACCAAAGACAATTCCCCGCAATTTCGGGTACTTCAGGGGGCCCCCGGGGGCCTCCAGGGGCCCCTGGGGGCCCCTGGGGGCCCCCGGGGCCCCTGGGGGCCCCCGGGGCCCCTGGGGGCCCCTGGGGGCCCCTGGGGGCCTCCATCTGGAGGAGGTGGGCGGCTTAAGTGGCTGAGGTGTCTGTACAGCTGGGGCTGAAGTGTCTGTCTGTGCAGCTATTCTTCAGGTGTCTATACAGCTGAACTTCAGGTGTCTGCACAGCTTAAATTCAGGTGTCTGTACAGCTGAGCTTCAGGTGTCTGTACAGCTCAATTTCAGGTGTCTATACAGCATATATTCGGGTGTCTGTACAGCTCAACTTCAGGTGTGTGTGCAGCATATATTCAGGTGTATGTGCAGCTGAACTTGCGGTGTCTGTACAGCACATACTGGGGTGTCTGTACAGCTGAACTTGAGGAGTCTATACAGCACATATTGGGGTGTCTGTACAGCTGAACTTGAGGTGTCTATACAGCACATATTGGGGTGTCTGTACAGCTGAACTTGAGGTGTCTGTACAGCTGAACTTGGGGTGTCTGTACAGCTCGGGAGCAGTACAGACAGGCGTGCTTGCGTGGGGTGTCTGTACAGCAGGGGCGGCGTTGGACCTGGAAAGAGTTCTTGAATTTTATTTTGGATTTTTTCGTTTTGGAAATTTGCAGTGCAGAGGAAATGAGTGGCTCCGAATAGTTTTGCTGCTGCTGCTTTGCTGCTGCAGCGGTCAACGGCCAGCACTGCAGCAGCGCCGGCCAGCCTGCTGGCTTCCACGCAGGCCAGGCCCACGCAGCCCACGCTGCAGCAGACGCAGCGGGTCTTTTTCTCTATTTTTTTCGAAGTTTTTCGAGAAACTTTTTGATATTTGCGCAGATTTTTAAACACTATTTTAGCGACTATTTAATGGGAAAAAAAGCAGACAAAAAGATGCATTTTTCAGCGATTTTCGCGGAAAAAAAGAAATCAAAAATGCCATTTTTCTGCCATTTTACACACACACCCCAGAGGCCACCTAGAGGGAGAAGGGCAACAGAAGTGGAAGTGAAGAAAAAATAAAAAATTAATTAAAATTAATTTAAAATAAATAAAAAGAAATAAAAAGAAATAAAAAAAAAGAAATAAATAGAGACAATGAGGGGGATTGAAAGGAGATTAAAAGAAGAATAAGGGAAGATAAAAAGAGATTAAAAAGAGACAAAAAAGAGATAAAAAAGGAGATAAAAAAGAGATTAAAAAGAGATAAAAAACAGACAAAAAGAGATAAAAAGGAGGCAAAAAAGAGACACAAAGACAAGGGTCACAGGGGTCAGTCTGCTGCTGCTGCTGCTGCTGCTGCTGCTTATGCTGCTGCTGCTGCTGCTGCTGCGTACCCGAAGACTGCCACAGTGTCGCCCGGCTGCACCTTTGCCGTATTCCACACAGCGCCGAGGCCCGTAGAGACACCGCAGCCCAGCAGGCAAACCTGAAGGCCAGCAGCAGCAGCAGCAGCAGCAGCAGCAGCAGCAGCAGTAAACACCCCGCATGCAGCACCAACACCACAAGCAGCAGCAGCAGACAACCCACACAGCAGCAGCAGCAGCAGCAGCAGCAGCAGTAGCCGCAGACACCCCACAAGCCAACAGCAGCGACAACACAAGGCGAACAGACAGGAGGCTCCACTGGGGGCCCCTCTAGGGGGCCCCCTTTGGGGGGCCCCTCTAGGGGGCCCCCTTAGGGGGGCCCCTCTAGGGGGCCCCTTTGGGGGGCCCCTCTAGGGGGCCCCCTTTGGGGGGCCCCTATGGGTACTGACTTTGTCTAGGGGGGCCTTTGGGTCGATCTTGGCAACGGCCTCCTGGTGGACAACAGTGTATTGGGAAAATCTGAAAAAGAAAAAATGGAATTAAAAGCAAAAAAGAATTTAAATGAATTAAAAAGAAGATTAAATGAATTAAAAAAAGATTAAATGAATTAAAAAGAAGATTAAATGAATTAAAAAGAAGATTAAATGAATTAAAAAGAAGACTAAATGAATTAAAAAGAAGATTAAATGAATTAAAAAGAAGACTAAATGAATTAAAAGAAGACTAAATGAATTAAAAAGAAGATTAAATGAATTAAAAAGAAGACTAAATGAATTAAAAAGAAGATTAAAATGCATAAAAAGAAGATGGAAATGAACTCGGAAAAGAGAAACAGCAGAACAAAGGATCAAAATGAATACAAAGCGCAAAAGCCCGCGATTTGCTGCAGCAGCAGCAGCAGCAGCACAAGCCACTACCCTGCTGCTGCTGCTGCTGCTGCTGCTGCTGCTGCTGCTGCTGCTGCTGCTGCTGCTGACCCGGAAACCCCCATGTAGTGGAAAAGGGGCCCCCCCTGCTGCAGGCGGAAGCGAGTTTGGCCGTCGAACTTCATAATTCCTTTTCCAGTAAAACTTCGGACTTTTCCGCAAAGATTTGTTTTCCCTTTGGAGTAGCCTTCGCAGGTGCTGCAGCAGCGTTGCTCGCGGTCGCTGGCGAAACACTCCGCCTGCGCCAAACCCTAAACCCTAAACCCTAAACCCTAAACCCTAAACCCTAAACCCTGGCGCTGGCGCTGGGCCGCCGCGCGCGGCGCCCCTGCGCGCGCCGCGCAGCGCCGAGCTAAGCTGCGAGGCCGAGGGTTTGGGGTTTGGCGCCAGGGCTAGGGTTTAGGGTTTAGGGTTTAGGGTTTAGGGTTTGCCTGGTAGCAAAGAACCACGGGGTCCCCAGGGCTGCACAACTCCACCCCCTCGCCCACGGCCTCCACCACCCCCGCGGCCTCGTGGCCCAACACGCAGGGGAATTGGCCTTCGGGGTCTTTGCCGCTGCGCGTGAACTGCAAACCCCAAACCCCCGCAGCAACGCAAACCCTTTTTTAGGGTTTGGGACCACGCGCCCCCCCTAAACCCTTTTTTAGGGTTTGAGGCCACGCGCCCCCGCTAAACCCTTTTTTATGGCCTTCGGGGTCTTTGCCGCTGCGCGTGAACTGCAAACCCCAAACCCCCGCAGCAACGCAAACCCTTTTTTAGGGTTTGGGAACCCTTTTTTAGGGTTTGGGACCACGCGCCGACGCTAAACCCTTTTTTAGGGTTTGAGGCCACGCGCCGGCGCTAAACCCTTTTTTAGGGTTTGAGAGCACGCGCCAGCGCTAAACCCTTTTTTAGGGTTTGGGACCAAGCGCCGGCGCTAAACCCTTTTTTAGGGTTTGAGACCACGCGCCGGCGCTAAACCCTTTTTTAGGGTTTGAGACCACCTTTGGGGGTTTCCGGGAAGGGGAATTCAGAAGCAGCTGAACATGGTACTAAAAAGATGCTAAAAGATGCTAAGAGATGCCACAATGTTATTAAAATGATGCTACAAGTGTTATTAAAAAGATGCCAAAAAGATGCTAAAAAGATGCTAAAAAGATGCTAAAAAGATGCTAAAAAGATGCTAAAAAGATGCTAAAAAGATGCTAAAAAGATGCTAAAAAGATGTTTAAAATGTGCCAGAAAGCTGCTAGAAAGGTGCCACAAAGTTATTAAAAAGATGCTAAAATGGCATTAAACACTAAATTAAAAAACTCTGAAAGGTGGCTAAAATGGCATTAAAAAAATGCTAAAAAGATGCCAAAATATGCCAAAAGGCTATTAATTAAGAAGTTATTGAACATGTGCTAAAAGGGTATTAAGAAGAAGCTAAAAAGTAGCTAAAAAGATGCTAAGAAGTAACTAAAATGTTGCTAAAAAGATGCTAAAAAGATGCTAAAATGCCACTAAAAAGATGCTAGAAATCTCCTAGAAAGGCGCCAAAAAGTTATTAAAAAGATGCTAAAAACTTCATTAAAAAGATGCCAGAAAGCAGCTAAGGCGTTGTTAAAAAGATGTTAAAAAGATGCTAATAAACCATTAAAAAGATGCTAAAAAGGGCACTAAAAACAAACTAAAAAGTAAAAGAAAAGCTGCTAAAAAGCAGCCAAAACGTTAAGAAAAGGGGCTAAAAAGTTACTAAAAAGTTACTAAAAAGGAGCTGGAAAGATGCTAGAAAGTCATTAAAAAGATGCCAAAAAGCTGCTAGAAAGAAGAAAAAACTTTATCAAAAAGATACAAAAAGGGTACTACAAAGTGGCCAAAAGATAGCAAAAATGTGGTCAAAATATTATTAAAATGGTGCTAAAAAGCTGCTAAAAAGCCATTAAAAAGATGCTAGAAAGATGCTAAACAGCTATTAAAAAGATGCCATAAAGATGCCAGGAAGATATTAAAAGGATGCTTAAAGTGTTATCAAATAGATGCCAAAGAACTGGCAAAAAAGTGAAAAAAATTATCAAAAGAATGCTAAAAAGATGCTAGAAAGTTATTTAAAAGATGCTAGAAAGTGTTTAAAAAGATGCTAGAAGATTATTAAAAAAGATGCTAGAAAGTGTTTAAAAAGATGCCAGAAAGTTATTAAAAGATGCTAAAGTTATTAAAAAGGTGCTAGAAGATTATTAAAAATGATGCTAGAAGATTATTAAAAAAGATGCTAAAAAGTTGTTAAAAAGATGCTAGAAAGTGTTTTAAAAGATGCTAGAAAGTTGTTAAAAAGATGCTAGAAAGTTATTAAAAGATGCTAGAAAGTTATTAAAAAGATGCCAGAGAGTTATTAAAAGATGCCAGGAAGTTGTTAAAAAGCTGCTAGAAAGTTATTAAAAAGATGCTAAAAAGTGACTAAACTATCGCTTAAAAGCTGCTAAAAAACCGCTAAAAAACTGCTAGAACGTTATTAAAAAAGCTGCTAGAAAGTTGTTTAAAAGCTGCTAGAAAGTGTTTAAAAAGATGCTAGAAAGTGTTTAAAAGATGCTAGAAAGTGTTTAAAAAGATGCTAAAAGGTTATTAAAAAAGATGCTAGAAAGTGTTTAAAAAGATGCTAAAAGGTTATTAAAAAAGATGCTAGAAAGTGTTTAAAAAGATGCCAGAAAGTGTTTAAAAGATGCTAGAAAGTGTTTAAAACAAGTGTTTAAAAAGATGCTAGAAAGTGTTTAAAAGATGCTAGAAAGCGTTTAAAAGATGCTAGAAAGTGTTTAAAAGATGCTAGAAAGTTATTAAAAAAGCTGCTAGAAAGTTGTTAAAAAGCTGCTAGAAAGTACTTTAAAAGATGCCAGAAAATTATTAAAAAGCTGCTAGAAAGTATTTAAAAAGATGCTAGAAAGTGTTTAAAAAGATGCTAGAAGGCTATTAAAAAAGATGCTAGAAAGTGTTTAAAAAGATGCTAGAGGATTATTAAAAAAGATGCTAAAAGATTATTAAAAAAGATGCTAGAAAGTGTTTAAAAAGATGCTAAAAGATTATTAAAAAAGATGCTAGAAAGTGTTTAAAAAGATGCTAAAAGTTATTAAAAAGATGCTAAAAGTTATTAAAAAAGTGCTAAAAGTTATTTAAAAAATGCTAAAAGTTATTTAAAAAATGCTAAAAATGGATTTTAAAAGAGTGTAAGTCACCTCGTCAGTGTGGCAAGGAGCTGTATTAAAAAAGATGCTAGAAAGTGTTTAAAAAGATGCTAGAGGATTATTAAAAAAGATGCTAAAAGATTATTAAAAAAGATGCTAGAAAGTGTTTAAAAAGATGCTAAAAGATTATTAAAAAAGATGCTAGAAAGTGTTTAAAAAGATGCTAAAAGTTATTAAAAAGATGCTAAAAGTTATTAAAAAAGTGCTAAAAGTTATTTAAAAAATGCTAAAAGTTATTTAAAAAATGCTAAAAATGGATTTTAAAAGAGTGTAAGTCACCTCGTCAGTGTGGCAAGGAGCTGAGTAAAGAACTTTGACGCGAACTTCGCCGGGCTTGGGGGGAGCCACTATCACCGTGCACACCTGAGCACAAACGAGGGTTTAGGGTTTAGGGTTTAGGGTTTAGGGTTTAGGGTTTAGGGTTTGGGGTTTGGGGGGAGGCTGGGCGCGCGGGCTCGGCTCGGGTCTCGAGAAAACCAAAAAGATCTCGGAAATAAAAAGCACACCAAACCTTTTAATTATTAATTTGTTTTTAATTAAATAAATTAATTTAAAAATTAATTATTTGCCAAATCAACTTGCTGCTGCGGCCCCCCAGAGGCGGCAGCAGCGCAGGGGGCCCCGCCACCGCTGCTGCTCTTCTCTGTGGGGCCCTCTTTGGCTTTTCTCTTCGTTTTTTCTCCTAAATTATTTAATTAAATTGTTTTAATTCCATTTTATTGTTTATTTAGCCTTTAAATTCGTCGGTTTAAACCCAAAACTCGCGCAAAAGCTATACAGACACGCCAGCCGCAGCGCGAGCTCGCGGGGCCCCCGACCCCCTCCGCACTGCTTGGGGGCCCCTGCAGCTGCAGCGGGGGCCCCCGCCTTCTTAGATTTCACTTCTTTGCCAAACAGATTTATTTATTTAATTCAAATTTCCCCCTTTTGACCCACAGAGTCCTCAGGGGGCCCCCTGGAGCCTGCCGGGGTCTCGCTGGACAGCCAGCCAGCGGCGCCGCGCACTGTACCCTCTTTTGTATGGATAAGGGCGGCCCCGAGGGCCCCCTGGGGGCCCCCCAGGGGCCCCCCAGGGGCCCCCTGGACTCATTTGTGGCTCGGGCCAAGGCCGCCAGGGGCCCCCAGCTGCTGCAGGTCCTTCAGGAGGCCCTGCTGCACCCAGACCTCTTTCTTTTCGGGGAGTTGCTGGCCCTAGACAATGTGCAGCAGCTAGGGGGGCCCCCCAGGGGCGCAGGGGGGCCCCCTGGGGAGGGGCCCCCGGGGGGCCCCCCCCCAGAAGGGGGCCCCCCGGAGGGGGGCCCCCGCATGCTGTTTCTGCTGCGTCTGATGGCCTCTGGGACAGTCAAAGACCTCGTGGAGAGCCTCGGGGGGCCCCTGGGGGCCCCCGTACCCCCCCAGCTTCTTTACAAGCTGCGGCTGCTAACTATAGTCTCCTGGGCTTCTGTGTCTTGCTGCATTTCTTTCAAAGACCTGCAGGGGGCCCTGGAGGCCCCTGGCTGCTGCAGCGCAGCAGCGGGGCTGCTGCAGCAGGGGGGGCCCCCCGGGGGGCCCCCCGGGGGGCCCCCCGGGGGGCCCCCCGGGGGCGCGCAGCCAGACGAGGCCGCCGCAGGGGCCCCCGACAGCAGCAGCAGCAGCCCCGCAGCAGCAGCAGCAGCAGCAGCAGCAGCAGCAGCAAAGGAGTCGCTCACGGAATCGGAAGTGGAAGAAATGGCAGTCACTTGTTTGCGTTTGGGTTTGCTGCGGGGGCGGGTGGACGGGGAGCTGGGGTGTATAGACACCTGGGGGGCCCCCCTGGGGGCCCCCCTGGGGGCCCCCCTGGGGGCCCCCTTGGGGGCCCCCCTGGGGGCCCCCCTGGGGGCCCCCCTCCGAGACCCCACAGAAAAAGATATTGACCCAATGTTATCCGTTTTAACAAACTTTCAAAACAAAATTTCCCACATTTTGCTGCTGCTTAACACTGCCAAGCAAAATATGCTCCAAATCAAAAACCCCTAAAAGACCCCCACAGCCAACCTCGGGGGGCCCTCAGGGGGCCCCAGAGGGGCCCCAGGGGGGCCCCAGAGGGGCCCCAGAAGAGGGGCCCCAGAGGGGACCCGGATGGGCCCCAGAAGAGGGGCCCCAGAAGAGGGGCCTCAGAGGGGCCCCAGAAGAGGGGCCCCAGAGGGGCCCCAGAAAAGGGGCCCCAGAAGAGGGGCCCCAAAAAAGGGGCCCCAGAAGAGGGGCCCCAGAAGAGGGGCCCCAGAAGAGGGGCCCCAGAGGGGCCCCAGAGGGGCCCCAGAGGGGCCTCGGAAGAGAAGCCCTGGAGGGGCCCCAGAAGAGGGGCCCCAGAGGGGCCCCCAAGCCAGAGGTCGACCCCAAAGGGGGCCCCTCAGCGCAGCTCCTGGGGGGCCCCCAAGGCTGGGCATTGAGGGGCATCAGTCGGCCTTTGGGTTGTGGGGCCCCCTCAGTTGAAAACTCCCTGGGGGCCCCCTCGGGGGCCCTCTGGGGGCCCCCTCGGGGGCCCTAGAAAGCCCCTCAGGGGCCCCTACAAGGCCACGGGGGCCCCCAGGGGTCAGCTCTCTCTAATCAGGAACCAGGGGGGCCCCGGGGCCCCTAGGTGACCCTCGGGGGGCCCCCTGGTCCTTCTTCAGTGGGGGCCCCCAACCACTTGAATCTTTTGGGGGCCCCCTGGGGGCCCCCAAAAGGCGCTGCAGCTGCAGCACGAAAAACTCAAAATCCGAGGCCTAGGGGCCCCCGTTGGGGCCCCATAGGGGCCCCTGAAGAACCCCCCAGGGGCCCCCCTAGGGGCCCCCCTAGGGGCCCCCCTAGGGGCCCCCCTAGGGGCCCCCCTAGGGCCCCTGTAGGGGCCCTTGGAGAGCCCTTCAGGGGCCCCGAAAAGGCCCTCTTTCGGCGTTCATAAACTCAAAGTCTTTAGCGAAATGTTCGCTAGCTAAACCCTTTCCTAAACCCTCTCTTAAACCCTAAACCCTGGCCTAAACCCTAAACCCTCGCCTAAACCCTAAACCCTGGCCTAAACCCTAAACCCTCGCCTAAACCCTAGCAACTACGGCCTCAAAACCCCACTAAGCACTTCAGCCCGAACTGCCGCTTCCCCAGCGCTGCTGGCATCTCCTAGACGCCGAAGTTAAAAAGGGGGCCCCCCACCGCTGCTGCTGCAGCAGGGGGGCCCCCCTGGGGCCCCCCAGGCCACAAAAAGGAAGCCTGGGGGCCCCCGCAGCCGCCAGGCCCAGTCTATTGGGGCTTTGGGGGCCTCCAGGGGGCCCCTCTGAGATTTAGGGGCCCCTGGGCAGTGCCCACTGAGGCACTTGGGGGCCCCCTCTGCCACTCACATAAACCCGTTGAGCCAAAGCCCTCAAAGGCCCCTTGGGGGGCCCCAAGGGGATCCTCTGGGGCCCCCCGGGGCCTCCTAGGGGGCCCCCAAGGGCCTTCTCGGGGGCCCCCAAGGGCCTCCTCGGGGGCCCCCTAACTGAACTACGTTCTGCCGCAGCAAAAGCCTCCTTGGGGGCCCCCGCCCTACAAGGGCAGTTTGCTCGGGGGCCCCAGTGGGCCCCCGTGAGACCCAAAGGACTTAGGGGGCCCTGGAAGGCTTCAGGGGGCCCCCAAGGGCCTCAGGGGGCCCCTAAGGGCCTCGGGGGGCCCCCATGGGCCTCAGGGGGCCCCCAAGGGTTCAAGTGCTGCCCTCAGACTCCGCCTAGGAGCGCCTTGGGGCCGAAGAGTTCTCTGATGTTGCTGCTGCCATACTTGATCATTGTGGGCCTGAGCAGCAAAGAAAGATAGAGAGGCGCAGCAAGAGTGAAGCAGCAGCAGCAGCGGCAGCAGCAGCAGCAGCAGTAGCAGCAGCAGCAGCAAAGTTATTGAGCGGCGGCGACGGGAGGCAAAGAGATCTGCTGAAGCTTCCGTGGCTAGAGAAGCAGCAGCAGGCCCTTCAGCCCTAGAGAAGCTTCAGCCCCAGAGACGCTGCAGCAGCAGCAGCAGCAGCAGCAGCAGCAGCAGCAGTAAAAGCAGCAGCAGCGGCGACAAGCTGCTCTGTGCTGTCTTCGCTGTGCTCCGGCTCTTGCTGCTGCTGCTGCTGCTGCTGCTGCTGCTGCTGGCTGCCTCTGCAGCAGCCGCCTGGGCTTCGGCTTTCTTATTATTCCTTCTCAGTTTCTGCTCTTTATGTCCCTTTTTTGTCTTATTTTTTATTTCGATTCTTTTTTATTTTCTTTTTTCCTTTTTTTGATTTCTTTTCTTTTTTTATTTGCCTTTTTTGTTTCGAAGATTTCCCCCAGACTGCCTCTCTGCCTTTGCCTCCTTCCACCAATTTCTGTTTCAACTTTCCACTTTTTGGGTCATTTTTTCTCGACTTTTTCATTGGATCTGAAGCTTCAGCCCCAGAGACGCTGCAGCAGCAGCAGCAGCAGCCGCCTGGGCTTCGGCTTTCTTATTATTCCTTCTCAGTTTCTGCTCTTTATGTCCCTTTTTTGTCTTATTTTTTATTTCGATTCTTTTTTATTTTCTTTTTTCCTTTTTTTGATTTCTTTTCTTTTTTTATTTGCCTTTTTTGTTTCGAAGATTTCCCCCAGACTGCCTCTCTGCCTTTGCCTCCTTCCACCAATTTCTGTTTCAACTTTCCACTTTTTGGGTCATTTTTTCTCGACTTTTTCATTTATTTAACTCCAATTAATCTCTTTTATCTCTTTTATCATTTATTTCTCCTTTTTTGATTCTTTTTTCCCCTTTTTTTCTTCTTTTTTGCCACTTTTGTCCCAAAATTCGGAGCCCCAGCACTCACCGTTCCAAAGAAAGGCCCCAGGCTATCACCGAAACCTCCGGGGGCAAACCCATGGGCAACAACATCTCGGGGCGGAACATTCCGCTGTTCCCCACTTCTATCCACCTACGCACAAACCCTAAACCCTAAACCCTAAACCCTAAACCCTAAACCCTAAACCCTAAACCCTAGACCCTGAACACTCCCTCTGCACTAGGCAGACACATGGGCCCCAACATCTCGGGGCGGAACATTCCGCTGTTCCCCACTTCTATCCACCTACGCACAAACCCTAAACCCTAAACCCTAAACCCTAAACCCTAAACCCTAAACCCTA